GACTGAATTATTATGCAATGAAACTATGGTTCCTTAGAAATACTTACAAGGAAGCTGCTGTCCAAGTTTTGAACATTGAAAATGTTACCCTGAAATATTATGATAAGGAGGTTCTGAAAAGCATGTCCCTGCCAGTGGAGTATCGAGTTTCTTTCCAAACTGTTAATAATCCACCAGCATCTCATTTGAGAACGGAATATGTATCTGTTTTTTCCCATACTCACTATCTTCTTCCTTATATATTTGAGAAGTTGAAGAGAGTTGTGGTTCTGGATGATGATGTTGTTGTCCAACAGGACTTGTCTGACCTGTGGAACCTTAACATGGGAAGGAAAGTGAATGGTGCTTTACAATTATGTTCGGTGCAGTTGGGTCAGCTTAGAAGTTATCTGGGAAAAAGCATTTTTGATAAAACTTCTTGTGCTTGGATGTCTGGATTGAATGTAATTGATCTGGTCAGGTGGAGAGAGCTAGATCTTACTAAAACTTATTGGAAGCTGGGACAAGAGGTGAGTGATTTAGTTTTACCAGATTTATTTTATGAGATATTACTTTTGTGAATAATTTGTTGTTTGACTGTTTAAACATCTGTGAGGAGAAACTAGTTGTATAGTATATATGAAATAGTAACCCAACCCTCTTTTGATCCAATGATCCAAACATAAAGGTATAGCAACTTTGGCAAAAGGATTTGGTTGACCAATTTATGTGATTTCTTATCTTATGCAAGAAAACAAGCTGGATCATAAACCATGAAACTGTAATCAAATGCGTCCACTATATTGCTATAACAACTTTGGTAGAAGGATATTGACCAGTATGATTTCTGTATTTTCATGTGGTGGGTCAGTGAATATTTAAATTTTTACTTTTATTAAATTTTGACGACCAGGTAGATCTCATTTGTTTTCCTACATTTCAAACATGGAAACCAGGTTAGCAAGGGAACAGAATCAGCTGAATCTGTTTCATTGAGCACAAGCTTGCTTACCTTTCAAGACCTAGTTTATCCACTTGATGGTGCATGGGCTTTGTCTGGACTGGGTCATGACTATGGGATTGATGTCCAAGCCATTAAGAAGGCTTCCGTGTTGCACTTTAATGGACAAATGAAACCTTGGCTTGAGGTAGGAATCCCCAAGTATAAACATTATTGGAAGAGGTTTCTAAACCGACATGATCAATTATTGTTGGAGTGCAATGTGAATCCATAACGAGCCAGTGGTATAGTTACTGCCATTGTTTGTGGAGAGCATTCAAGAAGCATGAATGTCCAGATGTTTGTTTTCTTGGTGCTCATAATTTTTCTGAGCTTAGATTCCTGAAAAAGATATTGGGTTGCAACAAAGTAGAGCCTTCTGATTTTTTGGTAAATAAATGGACTGGAATATTTTATCTAGTTCTAGCAAGCAGAAGGGAATGAACACCTTGGAGGCGCCTGTATTCGCCAGGAGAGGAGAACGTATTGTACACTGTAGTGAATGACAGGAAGAACTGCATTCTCTGCTTCTTATTTGGTAAGTTGCATGTGGGATACAAATGCTTAGCAATATTACTGAACACAAAAAGGGTTCAGCTTTATGCTAAATTTCAAGAAGATTGAATAGCCATCTGTGTTGTTACTGGTGGTGGAGAAAGCAAGTTGTCTTGTGCCTATCAAAGTTAATTCTTTTCTCAGGTTGTTTGTTATTTGATTGAAAGTGTGATTAATTAATTTTGTGATGAGAAACTTAAAGGTATGATTTACCTTAACCTTTTGTATCGATATTTAATTGTCAATTTGTTCATGTATTAACCCAATTGACATTGCCGGAATTGTGGCTTGTCAATTGAGGTCCTGGCATGCAGCTGGACATAGCATTGAGGGATTTTTAGTGTCGGCAATAAATATTTCTGAGGGCCCCGGGCTCCTACTCTAGATTTTTCGTTTTTGGCCTCCATCTTCTGGAGTGTAAATGTTAGATTTCAGATATCATTCTAAGCTAAATTCCAAAGGCAGGGTGAGCATGATATAGTTACACATCAACTTGGGATGTTCCCGAAGGCCAGAAGTTGGAGGATGACAAATTCCTGTGTAATTTATTGTTATCTTGTGATATGTTGTGATTGATTGGTATGCTAGAAAGTTTGTGTCCACGCTAAGAGTGGTTTGACAAGGTTGTGGATCGACGAAGTCTGTCCTGTCCATGCGACTAGTTTCCACTAGATTGTTGCATTTAACAGAGCAAGTATGCCTCATAGAAATGGTTATGGATAGCGACAGGCTATTAAATGTGACGGGTAATTGACCTTTTTTGTGTGATAATTGATGTGATGGTGTAATGGGTGGGTCTGCTGCAAGGTTGTTAAAATCACGTTTTGACTTGTAAACATGCTTTACGTGTTAAATCGTTTGAAAAAATCAAAAATGGATAAAATCAGGTTGAAATTGGGTTAAATCACAAAAATCGGATGAAATCGCGCAAAATCGCGATTTCAAGACCGATTTTGCGATTGTGCCAAAATGAGGTGCTGAAATAAAATCCCCATCTCTTGTCCAGCTGTCAAGCACCTATTGTATTTTTTTGCACAGTCACGGACTCACGTGACTCTTTTCACTTGAATGAATTAATTCATTGTCTTCAATCTTCACAAATCACAAAGCACAAAATACTTTTCCCAAGTTTCCCAGCTGAACAAATCCCTAATTGGCAACCATAACGGCGACAACGATCTCCATCCTCCACAAAAGTGGTCAATGACAGTGCTCACGGTCCAGTGACTCCAGTTTTCACTCCTTCTTTTTCCTTAGTGCTCACGGTCGCGACAACACATAAACCAAGATTGGTATGTTTAAAGACCTCTACTGCAGTCTCTGAAATTGAAGTGCTTCTTGAATAAAAATTAAAATTAAGGTTTGAATTCTTCATGTGTTTCTTGTAAAAGCTTTTCCATTATTCAGTATTCATTCCTCTGCATTTCTTTATTTATTTGGTATTATCCATTTCCATTATTTGGTAATTGTTCCTCTGTATTTCTTTATTCACCTAATAAACTAGGAATGTATTTTCCCATGCTTTTTTCTCACAAAATATGAGGTCGAACATTACTTCCTTTTCTGTTTATCATGATTTTAACAGCGACGAGCCGACGACAATCTCCTCAACAGCTCACGGCTTCGGGCTTCCTCTGCAATCTTTATTAACAGCAGCACGCAGGCAACGATCTCCTTTCTTTCCCATCTTCAACAGCAGCAGGCAACATCGGGCCTCTTCACCAGCAGCCGTTCAGCTCATCATCATCATCTTCAACAGTAGTGGGCGACACCGTAAGTTCATTTTGCCTTCATCATCATCATCACTACAGTAGTAGATTTTGCCCCTGTAATAGATTTGTATTTTGCCCTGTTAAGTGTTAAGTTTAATTGTCCGGTAATAAAGATTTGCATTTTGCCCTGTTCATTTTGCCTTCAAAATCTTCTAATAGATTTGTATTTTGCCCTGTAATTCATTGTGCCCGGTCCTGTAATTTGTATATGTATAATGTTGAATTGAATGGAATTGATGGGGTGAGAAAATTGTTGAATTGAATGTCACAGTATATACTATATATTTGAAGCATGAATTTTTTTTATGTATTTTAAAATTCCTTACGATTTTATAATCTGTTTTTACGATTCGAGTTTGTTTAGTACTTTCCATACCGTGTCAAAATCGTGATTTTAACAACCATGGTCTGCTGCGATGGTAGATAGGCAGCTGCAATGGTGACTGTTGTAATGGGAGCGTGAGGCTGCGCCAGTAAAGATGGGGTTGCTCGAGCTAGGTGACCATCTTCGATGCCAACAACCCTGATATCAGTTAAAATCCATGTGAAGCCTGCTCGAAAGTAGTTGGAATCCACACGGTTGCGCAACCAAGGGTCTATAGAGAATCTCTCTTTCAACCTTGCAAAATGACGCGGCTTCTGCTCCTATGGCGAGCCCATTAAGTGTGAAGCCTTTTCCCTGCTCTCCAGCAAGAATATTTTCTCAGCCCAGTAGCTCTAGAAGATCAGCAAGTTTTTCCAGGCCTTGAGCCCTCTCTCCATTAAACCCACGGTTGAGTGGCTGCACGAAGATATGCTCAAAGAATTGGTTATCTTAATTGAAAGAATGGAGGAAAGAAACCTGCACCAAAGCGCAAAGTTGGGATTAGAAGAAAACGCATGACAAGCTCTAATTGCTAGGGCCAAAAGTAACTAGCCTAGTGCGTCATGAATTCAAACCAGAAAGGAAGGGGGAATAGCATTCCTAGTTCCAACAAAACCACCTTAAAGGAACCAATTTGACCCTTTCTAACGGAGCTAGGTTAGAAGCTTTGGACGTTTGTGCTCTAAAGGATAAAACCATCACTAAGGATTTCGTATTCACCAAAAGAAATTCCATGGGTTTAGGATTAGTTTTGCCTAACAAAGCAAACCTTATAGGATTTCCATTATGAGACATATTTCCTTTAAATATGTGCTTTAAGCCTGTTTTTCTAACCATATGAAATCTGTGTTATGTGATTTTTTTTATGATTATTATTAATATTGTGATTCCTTTTAGATGGTAGGGATAACGAACCCAACTTTGGTCTTGTATTTGTAAGTTCATAGGATGTTCAATCCCATATCAAGCCCCTTTTCTAAGTTTGGGATGTCACGAACGGTATCAGGTCAACATTCACTTCAACTCTATGAGACCTTTGGCGTGTCTTATGGACATGATAAACCGTGATGTTTTTTTAAGGCAAACCCTCTCGTGAGGACGCAAGTTTTATTTCTTACATGAAAGATTATGCCATTGGTATTTTCCAGTTCCCTTAGCTATACATTTTTTAATTTTTAGAGAAATATCAAAATAATTTTTTTTTCTTGATTAATGTATCAATAGACAAAAATTAGTTTCAATTAACAAAAATGTTAGATAGTCACTTGAAATTTGCGTGTTTTTTTCATAAAAATCATGTGAATTTACTTGTAACTTGTACACGGAAAACGGATGAAATTTTTTTCTTGAAAAAAAAAGCGTCTGGTTACTCTACATGACGAATAAAAACTATCTGCAAGCTTTTTATATCCATAGTCCAATGTAGAAGACAAAATGGGATGGAAACAAAAAGGTTTAATTCATGCTGTTTGGGAACAACAATGAAAAGTAGGCAAGCAAATTAACCAGATAGCTAGCTAGGCAGTGACAAAGCGGTGGTGGTGGTGGTGGTGGTGGTGTTGTTGTTGGTGGTGGTGGTGGTGGTGAGGGATGGTAGTGGCAGTTTCAATAGTGTCATGAAAAGGCCTCCAGGCAGATGCAGTGAGCAAGCAAAGGTCTTTCCAACCAAGCTTGAGGGTGCCATTATCCTCCACTAATGTATAACCATCAGAGGGGAACATGCCAAGGAGCAAAGTGGCTTGTGTAGCAGCATTCCCAGCAAGAGAGATGCCTTTGAACCCGGACTGTTGTAGTTTTTCCCTCCAGTTGTGGAACTTGACATCCCCACTTCTGGATGGACCTCCCACGGCCAATACATTGCGTATCTCTCTGGAGAGCAACTGCTGCTCCACTACATGCCTCTCCTCACTCTCCTCCCCATAGCTTGCTCCCAAGGAGTCGAACAATGCGGAGTAGTAGTGTATGGCCTCCACAAACCTTCCCAGGAAGGATCCCGCATGGCTTAGGTCCTGTTCTACCACAGTCACTACTTTTGGTGCCAACCTGCAACAGAATCCATCCACCCCATCCCATTAGCGACCACGAGCGTGGTGCGTGCTAAATTAATTTATCCATAACCTAGCTTAACTAGCTCAACATGGATACTGGAACAGTTAATATTGGCTGGATGGGGCTGGCTCTTAATTTAAATTTATGTGTATAGTGTAGTAACAAAATAGAGTATATGTGGATATCAAATCATGCACTAAATCTCATTGCAAATTCAAGGTAATATGATTCATTAATCCAATACTTCCAAAATCATATCTACTAGTACAAGAAAAATAATAAATTTCAAGTCATTATCATTAGCATCTACCCATTTGATGTATAGAATATAATATGAAAACAAAACTTATTATTAGCTGATAAGCTCCAGCTTGCTCCTACAATATATATATATATATATATATATATATATATAGGAAAATGTGTCTGTGTTATAAGTCAAAAAGAAATGCTTTTTTTTTGTATAAGAAAAGCAAATCAAAAGGAAAGAGAGGAGGAGAATGAGATCAGACGATATATTATGAACCCTTTTTTAGGTATGGGATCTCGTGTTATGATCTTGTGAGTAAGTAGTAAATAATACTTACGACGTAGTCAGAGATGATGATGATGATTAAGTTAATACCTTTGCAACAGACAAAGCATATTTGTATCGGAACCGGTGACATCGTAGAGCGAGTGTTGCAACCAGTGGACGGCCACAGCCTCCCTCTTGCTCACATTAAGCCTCTCTGGCTCCAAATTTCCAACCTTTTCGGCCACTGGAATGAACTCAAAGGGAAGTCCCAGTTTGTCTGCGAAATCAGACAGACGTTTCCCCGTTGCTTCAAGAGCCTCTAAAGAGGTCCCCAACCCGGTCAAGCGGACATATGGTGGTCCACCTGGCCTAGATGCTAGGATATGAAATAGCCCAGGCCACTGCAAACCTTGCATGACGTCCAGATCTATGATGTGGACTCTCTCTTCCCTTTCAAACGCTTCTTGTATCGCTTGGTTGGCTGTGAAATGAGAGAACTTGATGAAAGGGCCAATCCCATTGAACACCTGAAAGGCCGAAGCCATCTTCTGGGTATGGCTTTGGGGCAATGAAGGAAGCGTGGCGTATATCCCCAAGCAAGAGCTGACCAGCCTTGCTGACATAGCCTCCGAGAAGTAAGCAGCCACTCGCTGCGCTGAAGTTCCAAATGGCGTCGACAGCTCCGAGATCTCAAGTAGCATCTTATTAGCTTCCTCAAAATTATCAGCGGAGACGGCCTCCGCGCATTGGAGCAGTAAGGTCAGAAGGTGCAAGCCTTCTTCGTCTCTCTTTTGCTGCCGCATCTCTTCTTTCTTATCTCGGCTGGCTGCTGCTGATGAAGAGGGAGGGGATGTGGTGCTGCTTACCTGTTCTGCCTCTGCAGATGATGATTTTTCCTGCTGCTGATCTTGCTCTTGCTGTTGTGGAGGTTGTCCTTGATTTAATGCTAGAATAGTTGGTGTAACATTGGAAGTAGAAGAAGGGCTCTCTTGTTGCATCTGCTGCTGTTGTTGCAGATGCTGATCATGATGAACAAGGTGGATTTGTGGTTGCAGGTGTTGCTGTTGGATGTTTGGTTGGCAGATGAGAGGTGGCGTCGGTCCCCAGTTAGAGTAGTGACTAACATGTGAAGAAACTGGAGGAGCGGAATTAGAGACGATATTGTCAAGATCAAGAGTGAGCCCAGAGTTAGAGACATGACCTTGATTATAACGCCTCTGGATCTGAAGAGGTAATGGTACCGCTGCGGCTGCCTCCTTATTCCTACTCCTCTCCACCGGGAGAATATTGGACGGGATTATTGGGTCTGTCAAAGAACGGAGCCTGTACTCGAGGAGGGAGGCCAGATTGGGGTTGCAAGGGTAGATGATCTCCCTCACATTCTGAATGAGCTGAGGAATGGACACATTGGTGGAAGTGTGGAGTAGGTCCTTTATGAGGCCATCAATCCAAGCAGTGGCGGATGTGAAATCTTCCATGGAAACTGAAGCAACAGTACTAGTAGTAGGAGCAGTAATAGAGGTAGTGATGAGGCCGGGCGGTGGATCGGCGGCGGCGTTTGATCGGATATTGTTTCTTTTTATTTCAGCTGGAGGGAACAAGGGTAGACCAGAGAAACCACAGACGGCTGGGAGTTGGGATTGGGTGTGGATGTGGGTGTGGGTGTCGTCGCAGCTAGTAATTAAGTTGGTGGAAAGTATTGTAGGAGACAAGAACCCAGAAACAGACAGAGAAGCAGACCCGCCTGACGTAATTGCTGTCAAGTGCGTGGAAGAAGGTAGCATAGAAGTCGTAGCATGGTAGTTGAGGACTGGATATAAGATTGAGTTGGGGTTACTAGGGTTAATATTGTTGTTGTTGGAACAACTCGTAAAAGAAGAGGCACCAGTACTTCTAGTCATACCAACATCATTATCATCATCGTTGTTGTTGTTATCTGATATTGAAAGTGAATACACGTTGGTGCCACTGATGATGTTACCTCGAGATAACCTCTGATGATTTTGGTGAGTAATCGTTGATTGCACTTCCATCATCTCAGAAGCCATCCTCTTCCTCATCATCTTCCCACCTGCTCCTTTTACTTGTACTGCTAATGATATTGGTGTGTGTCCGGGGGGTGTTTGCTGCTATTGGTAGTGTTGTTGCCACCGTTGGTAAGCTGCAGGGAGGCACTTGTCAATGAAGCAGTAATACTGGTGGTGTCGTTATTACTCTAGGTACCACTGTTTTTATTATTGTTGTTGCTATTAATGCTGGCGCTGTTGATACGACGGAGCAAAGATGAGGCAGCTGCCATTTTGAACCAATACTATACTAGCAATAATAGAAGTAGTAGGGGAAGGTAGCAAATACAAGAGAACCAGGAGAAGATGATTATGAGAAGATGATAAGCCTCGAATGGTTCTTCTTGATCTTCGTAGATAATATTATAAGGAGATAATTAAATACTTTGAAAGAAAAGGAAGAATTTGAAGTTGCTGTCAAATGGTGTGTGTGTGTGGGGGGGGGGGGGGGTTTTTAAA